GGAGGAAGATGGCTTAACTGTGCTTTGGTTCGATAAGAACTCAATGGAACAACAAACACATTTGAAAGTTCAGGGATATTGGACTTGGCCAGATTGAATGTGGATTTGTGGCGGTATGCCTTGTCCTGCTGAGACTGTTGTGTCCATGAATAACCAAATTACCCTAACTTCTTTACGGAAAAAAGGGTTATATGAAGTCTCCCGATATCCCCAAGCAATCATCCTCTTTGCTAAGTGCATCTCCTAAGTGATCCGAACTATACTACCCACCAAAAATAACGCAAATGTCTGTTCTCATTGAAAGTGCTTCGGAGAAAGGGATCTGTCAAAAAGGATGCCCTTCTCACCCTCTGTCTTCCTTGGTTGCATGATCCTGCAAGGAAATAAAGACTTTAGTGGGAACTTTACCAGTCAAGAGGCTTGCCGGAAAGGTCGACCCGTGGTTCGGGTTACGAATTGAATTTGGCTTACCTATCGGATCTGTAGTGGACTGCATGAGTTGCGCATAGGGCAAGCATATGGGCTGCAGAGAAAAGGGCGAAACAAGGTGTTGGGGCTAGGGTAGGCCTGCTTCAGACCCCAGATGATGGATTGTCTATCCATTGCCTGGACGTAGCTCTCCTCGTGAGTTGACTCCTCAAACGTAGTTTCTTCGGAGTACAGTAACTGTTCAATCCATGTTTTGTGCTTGGTTTGGTGGAGAGTCGTTGATGGCGTCTATCTTCTCAAGCCTCTATGCCATTTCCATGTGTGATTACTTCAATAATATTCAACTAGCTCATAAGTCAGTTACTTCACCCTGTTTTCTTTGCGCTTGCCCCGAATGGAGAGTTCTAGCATCTCTCCCATTTGATTTCTATCGAATGTCGCTCAAGATCACTTGGGGAACCTTGATTTGTGATTCGAGAAATGCACGATCAAAATGAGAAGGTTGGTAGTACATCCAAAGAATATGTGAGCACAATCTTATTGACGAACCTGGATGTATGATAATCAGAGGTTAATTGGAACGGACTGGGGCAGGGTTGTGGTGGAGGCTGTGTGAGCGGGGAGCAGGGCTGGTGAAGTACAAAGATAAGAACTGACCATGATATATGAAGGCATCCCGGGGGGAGCCAAATAAAATCACTTACGATATTCATTGAAATGGGTGAGGCCCGCGCTTACGAGCTCGCGACATCTATGCTACTCCAATTGATATGAACCTAATAGCATCATCTCTCCAATCAGAATTAATACTATGAGAAGTGGAAAACAAGGTTGGAGAGTTGGTGATAACTATTGATACCATATATGATTGATTTTTACTAGTGATAACTCTTGCTATAACTACATATTTGTGGGATTTGTTTGATTCTCCTGGTGCTTGATTAAATATCCTTGCGTATAGTAATACCACACTCGGATAGCCTGTTAGGAGATTGAGCTTTTTCTCATATTGTTGAATAGCCTTTCTTATATTATATGGGTAAGTGGCGCTTAGTTTTTGTTTGGACTTTAACAGTGACAATGCCCAAGAATAAGTGAAGAGATACCAAAAGAGCTTGAAGGAATTAGCAATTACTCGAGTCTGTTCTGTACTCTTCTCTTATGTGGACGCGTTTAATCACGATCTATTATATTAAGATTAAAACTAAATCAAATAATCAGTAAGTAATACAATACTCGGAATCGATCATTCATTATCATCATCTAAAGATCATATATGAAAAATCATTAATTTTATAAATCTTTTAGCCATTTGTCTACATAAAACAAATGAACGGTTCATCATGATGATGCTACTTATTACCAAAACGGTTGATTGGTTTAACACGTATAGATGACCAAACGATCTCCAAATTGAATTATTATTATTTTTTTACATGTATTATCTGTAGTAGATGATAAAGAGAATGAACAATTATAATTATAATGTTTAAACGGATAGTGTAAGCCATTTCAAGAAATGGGCCTACAAAACTCCCACGCTTTCTCAAATACGGTCCAATAGTCCATAAACCCATAATCTTAAACAGGCCCAAATGTCCAGTAAAACCCATCACTGTAAAACTATAAATTGCAAAACTCAGGAATTAGGGTTTCCCACTGCTAGAATTTTGTCTGCAAGTCGCTCCTCCGTTCAGAGCTCCAGCAGCGAAGATGGTAAGCTCTCTCTCTGACTGCATCTTCTGCTCCTCGACTTCTTTCTTCTTGTTCTGATGTTTGATATCGGCCGTTGGATTTGCAGCCGTCGCACAAGTCCTTCATGATCAAGAAGAAGCTGGCGAAGAAGATGAGGCAGAACCGACCCATTCCTCACTGGATCCGCATGAGGACCGACAACACCATCAGGTTCGGATCTTAGAGACCCCATTTGATTTCTTTTTTAATTTTTTACACTCGATTTATCTTTTTAGCTCTTGGAAATTTCTCCCGCCTGCTCTAATACGGCGTGGTGCTGCTTCAGGTACAACGCTAAGCGCAGGCACTGGCGCCGCACCAAGCTTGGATTTTGAGGTGGATCACCCGCTACTCTATATCTATGTGTTGGTCAAGATTTTAATTCTGAGAAACAGTTGGAAGCTTTTTATGTTTAATCAAATTGGGAACTTCCATGTAGTCCCGTGGTGGAGATTTACCTTATGAAAATGTTATTTGGTTTGTAGTTTAAGTGTATTTCCAGTAATGTTGGACCAATTTTTGAATTTAGATGAGTTAATTTGAATCATGACTTCTCAATGCTCTGTTTATGCTGTTTTCGATATTTGTTGGTGATGGCATGCCGGTCTTTCTTAATTTAATTCGATTGCGGATTGCCTGTACCATCTGATTAGTGAAATACTTGTTTGGATGACTGATTTGGCATGTTGTATTTGCCTCGTAAATCTTTATGTGGTGATGGGTATGGGTAGTTCATCGTTGCTTACTGTGATTGATATAGAATTTTGAACATAGTAGCAATGATTCCGTCCAGCCCTTGTAATCCATAAAGTTTTGGTTACGCAGATTAGTGCTTTGCTAAGATGTTCTGGTCAGAATATTTCAGTGTTTTGTTGGTTTTTGGATACATTGCATAGATAGGCATGTTGATGATGAGCCATGGAATTGCGGGAACACTATGTTCTTTCTGTTTAGGTAGCTCGTTGTTCACTCTACGTAATGAAATTTAACATATAGTTAGCGGAATTATCTTGTCAGTTTACTGCACAAGTTGAGGTGAGAAAGGAATTGCCCTTTGGAGGGATTTTCTAGTTTCTTGTGTGGATGTCAAATTGCTTTCCAAGGTGAAATTCGGCGTTATTTTCCCGGGCTGATTGAGCAGCTCCTATTTTAGAGGAAAGTTGCACGAAGGATTACTTGGTTTTCATGCTAGGTTCTCAACTTCTCTTGTTTGCTACTCTATAGTGCCACCGTTCACCTGATTTTCTAGGTTGGTTCATGTTACAACTCTTGCTTTAACTGTCGATTTATATGATTGCTTCAAGGGTGTCGTGATTTCCTAGCATGTACTGGGACAGGAAGTTTGTGTTGCTGTTGGCCTTTTATTTCCTTTGGCACATACGCTGTTTCGAGCATGCGTATATGCACATGCTAAATTTTATGTTTGCTCTGCTCATGCGTGTCGCGGATCCCAGCACTATCACTGTGATTCTAAATTTAATTACCGTACACCTATGCTTGCTTCAATGTGTACCATATGTGCATGACGAGAATGATTTATATGGAACAGGTTCACTAGTACGTATTGTCTTCCATACAATAATGCATTGCTATGTGCATGTTTTTCTCCACAAGGCAATGTATATTATTGGATTGGGATGCCACGCAGTGGTGGACTCGTTCTATGTAAGTTCTAGTTGTGGAAACAGAAAAAACCAAAAATCAAAAGTTAGCGCGCATTATGTAATTGGTTTAGCTAATTTCTTACAAATATGTTTGCATTGATTTAAGTTAATCTGGTTAAGGTTTAGTAATATTCTTTTTCACTTGTAAATGAGAAGTTTTACCTTCAATTCTCGTCAAGAAGAATTTGAACCACGTTATTGTGATTGGTCTATTGTGAGGCTTAGTCCACTTCTGCACTCCATAATGAACAGATTTCCATTTTAGTCCTGATTGCAAAAGAAAATAAATTTTTTTTTTTAATTTAAACTCAGTAATTATCTTCCATGCTCAACTTTAAACTTTTGTCACACAAACTTTCTATTTTAATTTCAATTAGGAAACTGAAAACGAAATTCACATTAACAAATAAACCCACTGGTTCAACAAGTCACCCGACCGGCGAACTTCGTCCACCATGGCAGCAACTGGCTCCGATTCCGGCCGTCATCAGTTGCCAGTCGCTGTGTACACTCTCTCCCCGTCAACCTTGAAGGACTTGTCAGCAAGACCAAGTCCATTCGGTCCCCTTTTTTTCTGGGATCAAATCTTTGAATGATTTTATTTCTACTAGTTTTTTTCCTTCTCCCTCCCACCTCCTCCCTCCTTCCCCCGAATTTGTTGTCTCTCTCCTTATCTCTCAGTTTCTCTCTCTAGAAAGATCAGTTTTGCTATGTTGTTCCAAGTAGGAGTACCCCGCAACTTGCGATGCATGAGTAGTTGTAAATATATCTAAAAGGAGCCAAATATGGCCGTGCAATTTGGAAAGCCACAAAAATGTCTAACAAACTTATCCGAGGAAACCGAAACGGCGAAACGAAACTCCAAAATAAGAGCAGCAATCGACGGGCAGCCCTGCGTTGCCCCCCCTCCTACATCTCCTATAAATTTCGAGGCGGCTGAGGGGCACAACTTAGGCCATCAGGGAAAAAAAGGGACGGGGTTGGGCTGCTGACAAATCCTATTCGTACTTTCTTTTACTTTCGGTTTCTCTCTTCCTCTTGTCTCTTCCGACGAGGAGGCCCAGAGGTTGAGAGCACTGCTTGTGGCAAATTTCGTGGTGGGGAAGCAGAGAAACAGCGGAGCTCTTTCGGGCCTGAGAGCCTAAGAAGGCGGTGTTGTGCCGTTGGTCAATCATGGCCAACATCTCCTTAGAAGACGTCAAGAACGAGAACGTCGACCTCGTACGTATTTGAGTTTGCATGATTTTACGTGGTGTCTTTTTTTTTTTTTTTTTTTTTTTTTTTGAAGTTTCATGCAATGGTATGGTAGTGGAAATGTGTTTGTTTTGTTTGTGTGTTTTTTGTAGGAGCGAATCCCCGTTGAGGAAGTGTTCGAGCAGCTGAAATGCACGAAAAGTGGATTGACGGCCGAGGAAGGCCAGAAGCGGCTGGAGATCTTCGGCCCGAACAAGCTTGAGGAGAAGAAGGAGTGCAAGGTCCTTAAGTTCCTGGGATTTATGTGGAATCCTCTATCATGGGTCATGGAGTGCGCTGCTATCATGGCCCTGGTTTTGGCCAATGGAGGGGTAATATTATCGTTAATCAATTTAATCAAACGAAGAAAAATGATTTCGGCACTTCCTTTTTCTTCCCATGCAACTTTTTTCTGGTCGTCGGATTAAATAAAGAAGAATGTTATGAACAATGCAGGGCAAGCCAACTGACTGGCCAGACTTCGTCGGTATTATGGTGTTGTTGCTCATCAACTCAACCATCAGTTTCATCGAGGAAAACAACGCCGGCAATGCTGCGGCAGCTCTGATGGCTAGTCTTGCCCCCAAGACTAAGGTCTTGAGGGATGGAAAGTGGGGGGAGCAAGAGGCAGAAATCCTGGTGCCAGGAGATGTGATCAGCATCAAGTTGGGAGATATCGTCCCAGCTGATGCGCGTCTCTTGGAAGGTGATCCTCTCAAGATTGACCAGGCTGCTCTCACCGGTGAGTCCCTTCCCGTTACCAGGAACCCAGGAGATGAGGTATTCTCTGGCTCTACCTGCAAGCAGGGTGAGATCGAAGCTGTTGTCATTGCTACCGGTGTCCATACATTCTTCGGAAAGGCTGCTCACCTTGTGGATAGCACCAACCAAGTGGGTCACTTCCAAAAGGTAAGCGCATTTACGCGTTTCTCTTCGTTGTCAGTCATCGAATTTTATGTAAAGTATTGTGTGGTATCTCAATCCAATCATATAACAGTGACAATGACATCTCGGTTCCATGGAAGTTTTTCTCTTTCACTTCGGGGCGTTTTACTAATTTTGTATTGTCTTGGAAGGTGTTGACATCCATCGGAAACTTCTGCATATGCTCCATTGCTGTGGGAATGGTAATTGAGATCCTGGTGATGTATCCAATTCAGCATAGGGCATATAGAGATGGTATTGACAACCTGCTGGTGCTTCTGATCGGAGGTATCCCCATTGCCATGCCCACGGTCTTGTCCGTGACCATGGCTATTGGGTCTCACCGCCTTTCACAGCAAGGCGCCATCACCAAGAGGATGACAGCCATTGAAGAGATGGCTGGGATGGACGTTCTTTGCAGTGATAAGACCGGTACCCTCACCCTCAACAAGCTTACCGTCGATAAGAGTCTAATTGAGGTTAGTGTAATAACCCGAATACGTGCCATATTTCAGTATAATATTGACCTTAAATTCGAAGGCGTGACAGTCAGTAACGAAGATAATAGATATGATTATTTGCCTATGATTCTCGTTATGCGATCAGTACTTATTTTGGGTGTGAATATAATTCAGGTGTTCCCGAAGAACGTGGATAAGGACGGCGTGGTGTTGCTCTCTGCTAGGGCCTCCAGGGTCGAAAACCAGGACGCCATTGATGCCTCGATTGTTAATATGTTGGCCGACCCCAAGGAGGTACACAATTCAATCCATTTTTACTTCTCCTGCAGCAGCATGCCTGATTGAAGCAGCTCATCTTTATTCTGATTTGTTGATGTTTTTGTAGGCAAGAGCAGGAATCACTGAGGTGCATTTCCTGCCCTTCAATCCCGTCGACAAGCGCACAGCAATCACCTACATCGATGCCAATGGCGACTGGCACAGATGCAGCAAGGGTGCACCTGAGCAAGTAAGCCCTTGTACCAATAATATAGAGCACATTTTATTGACCGATGCCATCAGAACTCTGTACGTGAAGATTTCGAAGAAAGAAAAAAATATTGTTAACTAACCATTTTACTTGTCTACCAGATCATTGACCTTTGCGATCTCAAGGGAGAAACAAGGAAGAAGGCCCATGCTGTCATTGACAACTACGCAGAACGCGGTCTCCGCTCATTGGGAGTTGCTCGACAGGTGAATAACCGCGACGAAATGACTCAATGGTGTTTGTTCTGTTTTTAACCCCAGAAAGATGAATTTCCTGACATAAATTCGATTCCATTCTCTATGATTTTACAGACAGTTCCTGAGAAGACCAAGGAGAGCGCCGGCAGTCCATGGGAGTTTGTCGGTTTACTGCCTCTCTTTGATCCTCCCAGGCACGACAGTGCTGAGACTATCCGCCGTGCTCTTGAGCTCGGTGTCAACGTTAAGATGATCACTGGTGACCAACTTGCCATTGGGAAAGAGACCGGTCGCAGGCTCGGCATGGGAACTAACATGTATCCGTCATCCACCCTTCTAGGACAGAGCAAGGACGAGTCCATTGCCTCCATGCCTGTTGATGAGCTCATCGAAAAGGCTGATGGTTTCGCCGGAGTCTTTCCTGGTAACTAAAACACTATTTTTTCGAGTGCCAATAGCAGCTCCCGTTAGTGGTTTTAAACTTAAAACTAATGCACATATATTTATGGCGTACAGAGCACAAGTATGAGATTGTAAAGAAGCTACAGGAGAGGAAGCACATCTGCGGGATGACTGGAGATGGTGTGAATGATGCCCCGGCGCTCAAGAGGGCGGACATTGGTATTGCCGTGGCAGATGCAACTGACGCAGCCAGGAGCGCGTCGGACATTGTCCTGACAGAGCCAGGGCTGAGTGTGATTGTGAGTGCCGTCTTGACAAGCAGAGCCATCTTCCAGAGGATGAAGAACTATACAATCTACGCTGTTTCCATCACAATCCGTATTGTGGTGGGATTCATGCTCGTTGCTCTCATCTGGAAGTTCGACTTCTCGCCTTTCATGGTCTTGGTTATCGCTGTCCTGAACGATGGGACTATCATGACCATCTCCAAGGACAGAGTGAAGCCGTCTCCTCTCCCTGACTCATGGAAGCTCAAGGAAATCTTCGCCACTGGCGTTGTCCTTGGAACCTACATGGCTGTCATGACCGTGGTCTTCTTCTGGCTTGCAAATAGCACCGACTTCTTCGGAGTATGTAAACAAACTCTTAGAGATCAAAAATCAAATTCCAACACTCAATTGATGATTTAAGCATAATACAAATGCTAAAAAAATCTGTACTTTTTACAGAAACATTTTGGAGTGCACAATATTTCAGACAACCCGAAACAGCTTAACTCGGCTATCTACCTACAAGTGAGCATCATCAGCCAAGCGCTCATCTTCGTGACTCGATCTAGGAGCTGGTCCTTCCTCGAACGCCCTGGTCTCATGCTTTTGGTCGCCTTTCTTGCAGCTCAGTTGGTTAGTATATGATTTTACCCTTTGAAACTCCATTTCCGTCTCACTTTATGTGCCACTTAGATTCTAAAAAATAAGTACTTCCGATACAGTCGGTAGTATTTTTCGCTTTTCACCATAACTTACCTTGCTAATTTGGGGTACCTTTTTCTTCAGGTGGCCACGCTCATCGCTGTGTACTGCAGTTGGGGCTTTGCCAGAATCGAAGGCGTTGGATGGGGATGGGCCGGTGTCATCTGGATCTACAGCATCGTCACCTACTTCCCCCTCGATATCTTCAAGTTCATTATCCGCTACGCATTGACCGGCAAGGCCTGGGATACCATTGTCCAGAACAAGGTTTGTTTTTCATCTCTAGCTCTACCATAAAAACGTTACTCCTTTTACTCTTTTGACTCGTTTCCCGACCTAATGTTGCTTGCTTATGTTTTGTTTACGCACAAAGACTGCCTTCACATCAAACAATGACTACGGAAAGGGGGCAAGAGAAGCGCAATGGGCGTCAGCTCAGCGTTCGCTCAACGGTCTCCAGCCTCCGGAAGCATTGTTCCACGGCAACCACGGGGAGCAGGCGGAGCTAGCTGAGCAGGCCAAGAGGCGCGCGGAAGTCGCTAGGTAAAATGATGCTTCCTTGTACAAAAACAAAAAAAGGGCACTCAAAAAACAGCAGGATGCTTCCTATGTTGGTTCGTTCGAGGCCTATCCTTGGTTCATATGTTTTGAACAAATCGATACACGTATATACGCGAATAAAATAATATATTTTTTTAATTTTTTAAAGTATATTATTTGAATTTTTGCATCTGATGTTTTATATTATGCATGCAGACTGAGGGAACTGCACACGTTAAAGGGGCACGTCGAATCAGTGGTTAAGCTGAAGGGGCTAGACATTGACACCATCCAACAACACTACACTGTTTAGAACACTTTCTAAAAAGGGCAAGGTGGACGCAAGGAGTGCTCAGAAGAAGCTGCAACTAAATATATATATTTACAAATATATAGTATTTATATATATTCTATGTTATGAAAGTAGAGAAGGTAAATGCTGTGAAAGCCAGCTGAGTGGATTTGCCCTTATATTAGATATTGGAAAAAACTAAACCTCTTTGGGATGGAATGAAGATTAATTATTGGGGTTTTTTTATTTTTTTTATTTTTTAAGAATGAGGGGTTGTATTGCCTAGGAATCAATAATGCAAGAATTTAGTAGTTCACAGTGAAATTATTCCAAGATTAATTATCATGCATGATTAACGAAATCTCAACCGAGTTCAAATTTTCTGTATTTATTTTGTATTTGGCCTCTATCATTAATTGACACGTCATTAACTTTATGATCATAAATTTAGCACGTGTCAATCAATGATAGAGGTCACAAACAAAATAAGTACAAAATATTTGATTCCATCACAAGTGTATTATAAATCTCTTTACTATAAATCCGTACTTAGATGCTCGAGGACAGACACAATATTCTAATTGACTAACCTAACAAGTTAAATTTTTTCATGTTTTATTGAATTTGAAAGGAAATGAGAAGCAAGCGTTAACCTTGTTAAAATGACACGAGATTATGCCCAACAATTATAAAATCAAAATAGCCGTCGTGTGCATATATGATATATATTATACAAACTTTGGATTTGTTTACTAACTAGTTATTTGTTGAGTTCAAATCCTCTTCCATTGATTTAAGAAAGAAAATAGCCTTCATCTTGGAAAAACAAAAACTTGTGAACTGTGTTTCGACCACTTTATTTATATGACAACTCTCACAAAAACGTAAAAACATATTTATTTTGATTCCACTAGACTCTACACCATATTACTTGTTGTAAGAACTGTCCTCGTCATGCTATTCTTATTATATTTGTACTACATTTTTAATAGATACAGAACTCCCATGTGTTAGCAAGCCTATATATATATATATGGATGGAAGGGAAATAGTTCATATTAACATGTTGCTGCAATCTAATTTCTGACAAAATAAAATTCTTCATAGAAACACATTTCTTCACCATTTTATCAATCGATTTGTTTCCCTTTCACTTTCCAAGGTTACAAGCAATACTGGGCAGAGTTGTCAACATAGAGCCAAGTAAAACTAAAATAGGGAGATTTTATTGATCTTGTGAAGTCGGTGCTACTTGACTCCACATTTTCGTAGGAAGTGATCCACAAAGCTAGAAAAACAAAAGGGACACTTTGGATGCGGTCCCTAGCTATCAATATTATTTGATTGAAACCTTGTTAGTTTTTAGTTTTTTATTGAGGTCCCTGATATTAATGTAATAATGTAAGTTACTATATTTTTAATTAAAAATTAAAAATTGAAATTTGTAATTGTTTGTATTAATGAGATTTTAAATACAACCCATAATTTATGGGATTAAAAATAATAAAATATAAATTATTCTCTGTATTATATTGTGTGTGTGTGTACATATATGTATGGGTACATTAACCAAAATTAACAAAAAAAGTTATTGTACCAAAACATGGATACATTCTCAAATCAACGAAAAAGAATGTACCCATATAAGATTAAACATGCATTAAAAAATTTGAATGGATTTTATATTAAAAAAGGGTACATTTTACATATAACAAATTGATATATTTGAGAATGGGTACATTTAAGATTAAAAAAATTGAAAAGTTATATGAATGGGTACATTTAAGATTAAAAAATTGAGAATCTTTTTATATATAAAAAAAACTAATAGGTACAAACTTAATTTAATTTAATTTTTTATTATTTTGGAAATGTTTGAATTGAAAATTAATTAGAAGTTTAATAGAGGTGTGAGTATTAAACCCTAAATTAATTACTAATTTTTATATTAAAAAAATTATATAATAAACACGTAAATTCATTATCACATTAATGCTAGGGACTTGAATCAAAATTTGAGAACTAATAAGGTGTTAGTCAATGAACAGTAAAAACTAGGGACCGGATACTAATTTTTCCAAAACAAAATAACAAAAACAAACATTTAATATTTATTGATATTAATTAGGGTGAAAACCTTTCCTAAAAAGTAAAATACCTGCCAAAACGAAAAGCAAGACAATAATGTTATTTGTACAAAATTGATACACTTGCTAAGACATTATCTAATACAGTTTAACTCGATCATTGCATGTGCATGTGGTCTTATGCAGATATGTAGCTAGTAGATTACAACTATGTTTCCCCCATCGAACGTTTTGTTTATGAGGTTTTCTCCTTGCTTGCTATAGCCTTATGGATAGTAGTGGTGACAAAGTAGTACTACAAGGCCTGAGGCCACATAGATGAGAGAGGCCGTACATTTGAACCAGACAGGAAATGGGACTGACACGGAAATGAAGAAGGCAGTGATTCCGAAGAAGATCCCGAAATAATGGAAGAGATGAACTATTATCCGTGGAGAGTTGGAGTGTTGGATAAATTTGCTAACCATGATACAAGTAAAAGCAAGTAGGATTGCGAGACCGAGAAAGCAAAAGGTTAGAGGGAGCTGGTTGGAGTGAAGTTGGATGGGAATGAGAGCCATTCCAATGGCTGTCGACAAGCAATACGCCACGATAATCTTCTCCCAGTCAAAGTTGTGCTGTCTAGTCCTAGAGCTGGCAGCGGTGGCTGGCAGCAACGGTGGTGGTGGTAGTGGTGATGGTGGTTGATCAGTCGCTGGTACTATTGTTTCTGGGTCAAGATCATTGTCCAACGTGATGAAGATCTTGTTGAGTAGTTGCTGCAAAAATGCCTGAAGGCACTGATAAGCACTAGCAATATAGTAGTTCATACTTGTACCTGATAAGTATAACTCTACACAGCTGTGGATCGAGGGAAACTGATGGTTAAATTCTTAGTTCCATGAGAGAATTCATGGTGGATTTTATACACCTTGGGCAGAGCTTTACGCGTACAAGTAGAAAAAGGTCGTTGAGGATAGAAAAGGATCGTTAGAGAGAGTGAGAGAAAAGCCAGGGCGAGTCATCATGGAAAGTTGGGTGAGTTGAGAGAAAAGCCAGGGCGAGTCAACATGGAAAGTTGGGCGAGTTGAGAGAAAAGCCAGAGCGAGTTCACAGGTGGAGTTAGCCAGCGAGTACTTAGAGAGAGAGGATAGAAAAATGGTACTTAGAGAGAGCCTAAAGATCAAATTCATTTGCTTCGGACTGTCAGGAGCCTAAACAAATTCATTCGCTTCGGACAGTCAAAGTAGGGATGGGCAACGGTTATGGCGAGTAGGTAATAGCAGTTATTTACTCATAATCATTTATGTTCATGCTCACATAACAGTTTATCCGTTAGATAATTGCATAAACGGTTATACTCATACCCATAACCGTTTATAAATGGTTAACTATACACATAACCGTGTACCCATTTAATTATAACCATTAACCCATTTAACCATAATCATTTACTCGTTTATCATTTTTTTACCCATTTATCCCTTTTTCACCCGTCTACATGTTTTTTTTAACAACTTGAAATTTAAAAAAGAAAATTTTGTCATAATTTTCATTTGTTAAAAATTAAACACTGTTATAGGTATATTTTAGCTTGTATTTCCCTATTTTAATCATTTAAGTCCTCATACAATTCCAATAATTGAAATAATAGTTTACGAACGATATTTTTCTGCTACACTCAAGCAAGTCTTTAATTATAATCCATATGATTACAAATTAAAGCTTCTAAAAACAAAAAGTAATCATCATCTTGAATACTAGATGATTCAAAGCTCCAAAATATTCTAAAACTAGACACTTTCGAACATTAATGCTTTAGCACGTTCAATCACAAAGTCTCATCGACTCGTTGTCACCAAAGAGGCATACAAAAGAAAGAAATGTATAAATCGAATTAGTATCCTATTTAGAAACACCGATACTAATTAGCATGAATCCAACAGAGATAACACAAAAAATTTACATTGTACATTCAGTTATCAGAAGGAAAAAAAAGGAAAAAAAGCAAACAAAAGTGATCCTTATTCCTTAGTCCTCCACCTCTCTAATATATATATGTGAGCGTGTGTGTGCGCGTGCGTGTGTGTCCTTGTCATGCTATTCTTATTATATTTGTACTACATTTTTAATAGAGACAAAACTCCTATGTGTTAGCAAGCTTTTAATATATATATATATATATATGTGGATGGAAGGGAAATAGGTCATATTAACATGTTGCTGCAATCTAATTTCTGACAAAACAAAATTCTTCATAGAAACACATTTCTTCACCATTTTATCAATCGATTTGTTTCCCTTTCACTTTCCAAGACACTATTTATTATTATTTTTTAGGTTACAAGCAATACTGGGCAGAGTTGTCAACATAGAGCCAAGTAAAACTAAAATAGGGGGATTTTATTGATCTTGTGAAGTCGGTGCTACTTGACTCCACATTTTCGTAGGAAGTGATCCACAAAGCTAGAAAAACAAAATAACAAAAACAAACATTTAATATTTATTGATATTAATTAGGGTGAAAACCTTTCCTAAAAAGTAAAATACCTGCCAAAACGAAAAGCAAGACAATAATGTTATTTGTATAAAATTGATACACTTGCTAAGACATTATCTAATACAGTTTAACTCGTAGTCTTATGCAGATATGTAGCTAGTAGATTACAACTATGTTTCCCCCATCGCACGTTTTGTTTATGAGGTTTTCTCCTTGCTTGCTCTAGCCTTATGGATAGTAGTGGTGACAAAGTAGTACTACAAGGCCTGAGGCCACATAGATGAGAGAGGCCGTACATTTGAACCAGACAGGAAATGGGATTGACACGGAAATGAAGAAGGCGGTGATTCCGAAGAAGATCCCGAAATAATGGAAGAGATGAACTATTATCCGTGGAGAGTTGGAGTGTTGGATAAATTTGCTAACCATGATACAAGTAAAAGCAAGTAGGATTGCGAGACCGAGAAAGCAAAAGGTTAGAGGGAGCTGGTTGGAGTGAAGTTGGATGGGAATGAGAGCCATTCCAATGGCTGTCGACAAGCAATACGCCACGATAATCTTCGCCCAATCAAAGTTGTGCTTTCTAGTCCTAGAGCTGGCAGCGGCGGCTAGCAGCAGCGGTGGTGGTGGTAGTGGTGATGGTGGTTGATCAGTCGCTGGTACTACTGTTTCTAGGTCAAGATTATTATCCAACGTGCTGATGAAGATCTTGTTGAGTAGTTGCTGCAAAAATGCCTGAAGGCACTGATAAGCACTAG